TGTCCTGCTACGTGGTCGTTCCCTTGTCAGGCGGTTCGTTCCGGGGACTTGCTTTTGTTTTTTCCCCTGGCGGGTCTCGCCCCCCCCCCCCCCCGCTTGAGGTGTATGTGGGCAGCTTGGCGCCGTCGGAAAAAATCCTCCTCCTCCTCCCCCTCATGCTCCGATGCGTCCATACTCCTCCTCCTCCTCCACAACCCTCTCCTCCTCTTCTTCCTCCTTCTGAACCTCGTCCTCCTCCTCCTCCTCCTCCGATTATTTCATATTCCTCCTCCTCCTCCTCCTCAACCTCCTGTTCTTCCTACACCTCCTGAACCTCGTGTTCCTTCTCCTCCTCCTCCTCCTCCTCCTCCTCCTTCTCCTCCTCCTCCTCCTTCTCCTCATCCTCCTCTTCCTCCCGAATCTCGTCTTCCTCCTCCTCCTCCTCTTCATCCTCCTCCTCCTCCTCCTCCTCCTGCTCCTCCTCCTCCATCTCCTCCTCCAAATCCTCCTCCTCATCCCTCCTCCTGCTCTTCCTTCGAGAACCCCACGCAGCCCGGAATAGGCGACACATCTCCTGTTAGCTGCCGATTGCCCTCCCAGCCCCTTTCCCTGCGTGGGCGGAGGTGTCCTGCCCGATCACGGAGTTCGTGACCTGGCAGCAGCACCGCAAGGCGCCGACCTCCTTCCCCCTGCTCCTCCCTCCTCCTCCCCCCTCCTTTTTCCTCGTCCTCATCATCCTCCCTCGTCCTCCCTCCTCCTCGTCCTCCTCGTCCTCGTCCTCCTCCTCAGCCATTTTGCGTTCGGGTGCCCGCTAACCTGCGGGAGGCTCCCTTGCGTATTGACATTCAGATTTCAGAGCGGCCACGGGTGTCGGAGGCACAGAACACGGATGGCTGCCACCAAAACGCAGATTGGCGGTGGCAGCAACGGCAGCAACAAGAAGTGGCGTTGTGACCAGTGCCAGGTCAACAACGGCTCGCGCTACGGATCGTACTGGAAATGCTGGGGTGCACGACCCCAGCCCAGTGGCCAAGGACGCCGACGAGGACCCGCACCACGACGAGCAGTTCGCCAAGGTACAGCACTACCGTGCCAAGCTGACAGAGGTACGTAAGCTCGCCGAGGACCCGTTCTTGGAAGAGGCCTTGCAGCCGCAGGTGGCGCAGTTCGAGGATAAGCTCGCCGCCGAGCAGGCATCATTGGACAACGGAGTGCCGCGCTGCTTCACGGAGTGCAAGGTGGTGCGCGACCGCTACAGGGTCGCAGAACAGAGGACACGGTGCCAGCAGCGAGTCGATGGCCCCGAGGAGGAGCTGGCGGCGACGCAGGAGAAGCTCACCGACGTGAAAACCAAGATGGAACGGTTCAAGGCGATGTTGGACGGCCTCGACAAGCGGATCGAAGAGATGGCGGTCCCATCGCCAGGGAAGGGTTGGGCGGCAGCGCTGGCCTTTTCTGCAACAGGCGGAGAAGTGCCTGGACAGCGGCACCGGGCAGCACGAGTAGCCCGCGGCCGCGTTGGACCACGCCAGGGAGCAGAAGAAGAAGGAGGAGGCGGCCGCCAAGCGCGCCGAGCGCCTCAAGAAGGCCGGGGCGGGCATGACAGCCCGCACCACACGAGAGCGTGCTGACAAGGAGCGCAGCGCCAGCGTCGACACCAACAAGCGCCACTGCACCGACGGCGCGCACGCCAAGGAGGAGCTCATCGAGCTCGTGGCGGGCACCAACGAGCTCGCCATCAGCCTGACCCTCGTCAGCCTTGGGGTACCTCCTGAACAGGCTGGTAAGGTGGTGGGTGCTCTCAAGTGTCTGGTTGGCGAGCTGCAGCCTGGCCACGCGATCACCATCAGCAAGAAGCAGTGGCTGCCCTCGCGAGGGTAACGGCGGCACCAGCCGCAGAGGGCCAAAGGCGAGCCTCGCCGTGGACACGGTCAACGCCAGCACGGTGGGCTCGCTGGAGCGCGCCATGATGCAGATCGGGCGCGACGACAGGGACGCCATCGTCCTGGGACAGGAGCTGCAGGCCAGCGGCACGCGGCTAGAGCTGTCCCAGACACGCATGCGCAAGCAGGGGTGGAACATCGGAGTTGTGAGCAGCGCCAAGACCGACACAGGTCACAGCGCTGGAGTTTTGATAGCTACGGCACGGAGCAGGGGCATGGACTTCCTGCGCAAGGGAATCAACCAGTGGGACACTAGCACGCGTGAGTCCGAGGGACGACTCGCCGTGGCCTGGGTTGACGCCTACAGCAGGACGGGCCTCATCTGCGGGACCGCCTACATGTGGAACGGCGATTGCCTCGCCGAGCGGAACCAGCGCATCCTGGCGAAGGTGGGCTCCACCATGGACGCGCTCCAGCAGGAGTGGATCCTCGGGGACGACTTCAACGTGGTCCCCGAGGTGCTCGAGAACCCGGAGATAGTCTGCAGGATGAACGGGGCCACCGTGCGCGACACCAACATGGGCACCTGCACGAGGCCAGACGGCACGAGGAGCGTGCGGGACTACTTCATCGTCTCGCGCGGCCTGATAACAAAGCAATTCAAGGTGCAGGCGAGGGACGGCTACTACACGTCGCCACGTCTGCCAGTCAAGCTGGCAGTGCCTGTGCGTCACCACGACACAAGCAAGGTTCACGTGCTTTGCAGGCGGAAGCCTTGGCCGCTGACGCGCCCGACTGGATGCCCAACGCAACCGGCGGGCTGGCCGAGGCCGCCGGCGAGCAACAAGGAGCACTTGAACAGGTACCACGGCTTCGCGGGCGACGACATGAGCAAGCGCCAGGGCCATTTCGAGCGGGCGAACTACAAGTGGCAGCAGCGCAGGCCCAAGCCTTGCGCAGCGGCCGCACAGCAGCAGCAGTGGGCCGAGGGCGCCGAGCGGCTAGCGCGGCGACTGAGGCAGTTGAAGGCGCTAGCCAGCGCGCGGCAGCAGAGAGGGGATGAAGGCACCAGGAGGCGAGGCCAGCACTTGGCAGACGGCCTCATCAGCCACGACATCGTCCTCCCGCTGCTCGCAGCGCAGGCGTCTGGGCAGAAGGCCGACGTGGGCGAGTCTCTCGGGGGCGTCGAGTTGGACGGAGACGACGGGCTGCTGGAGTCCACGGACGCCCTTCGAAAGGAGGCCTTTGGACATGAGAGCGCTGTCATATCCTGGTGGGCCCCGCCCGTGGAGTGAGGCCCAGGATGTTTGCACCGCGTGGGGCGCGATCAGCCGGCCGCTCATCGCGCGCGCGCTGAAGGACATGCGCTCCAGAAAGATTGACAACCGCGCCCAGCACTACCTGGGCCTCATCGCCACCCAGCTGGACCAGGCCAGCAAGCGGCCCCGGAAGATGGCCCACGGCGCGGCCGCAGCACAATGGCGGCAGCGGGTGGTCAAACACGGAGCGCAAGGAGCTGGCGCACTGCGCAAGTGGGCCAAGGGGCCCGCGCCACGGCAGCCGCAGGCGAGCAAGGCGGCCGACGACAGCGAGGGGGCCCGCGAGCTTTCGCACCCGCAGAAGGCCGCGGACGCAGCGATGGAAGGCTGGGGGAGCATCTGGGGCGACCCCCTGGACGCGCGAGCACCGCGGCCGCAGCCGCCCACCGCCCTCGAGTGGGCGGAGCGCGCGCAGGCCGCCGCCCATCACCCCGAAGCAGGTGGTAGAGGCCCGCGGCCGCTTCAAGCCCAAGACTGGGCTTGGCGAGTCAGGATGGTACCCGCGCCTCTGGAGCGAAGGAGGCATTCGCGGTGCCGCGAGAGTCGCCGGCGTCCTCAATGCGCTGGAGGCGGGATCGCATTGGCCGCGGGCGCGGGGCACTTCCTTGTTCTACCGGGCGGCGAAGGCGGCGGGATCATCACAATCTCGGGCCGATGCCCAAGAGACGCCCCGCACGCCGCGCGCCAGGCGCGGGGGGGCGCCCACTGCAGGCCCTACGACTGGGCAGCGCGCGGGCGGTCCAGCGAGAGGGCCGCGTGGGAGCAGGCGCTGTTCTGCGAGTCAACGGTGGCCGAGGGCATGGAGCACGCCGTCGCGTGCGTCGACCTGGCCAAGTGCTTCGGGTTCGTCACGAACGAGACGGCGCGGCAGGCGGGGGCCCGCTCAGGGTTCAACAGAGTGGTTTTCAAGATGGCGCTGCGCATCTACTCCGCGGCGCGCTGCGTCGCCCTGGACAACGCACACGCGGAGGGCGGGCGCTGGGCGCGCGGCAAGGCGGGCAGCCGCTTCGCGCCCTTCTGCATCAAGGTGGCCATCTCGGGGGAGTTGGACGGCGTCGCCGCGGACATCCCGCGGGCATCGCTGCGCCTCCCCTTCGACGACCTGGCGGTCGCCACGAGGGGCGCGAGGATGTTCGCGCAGTGCTGGCATGCGCAGGTGGCGCAGCGACCCATCGACATGTTCGAGCAACTGGACATAAAAGTCCCCAAGGGCGCGGAGGGCAAGACGGCCACCACGGCCTCGACCACCGCGCTGCAGGACGGCCTCGCCAAGCGGGCCCGGTCGCTTGGCGCCAGGGTGGTGGGCGCGCCACGCTGACCACCTCGGCACCACCACTGCGGCCGGCAGGAGACGACGAGTCAGCGCCTTCCGCAAGAGGGCCAACAAGCATGCAGCGCGGCAGCGCTGCGAGACCGCATCGCGCGCATGCGCAGTGCAGGAGGCCCCGCGCAGGCGATCATCAAGCACGGCGAGGCGCCGTCGGCCATGTACGGGGTGGAGGTCATGGGCATGGCCAGCTCCACTTTTGCGCACCTGCGGCAGAGCGTGGCGACCTCCTTCAGGAGCAACACCATGGGCAGATCCACGCCGCCGGTGCTCCTCGCCCACGACGCCGACCCAGGCATCCGCGCCAACGCGGAGCCTCTGATCGACTAGGCCTTGGCGCGACAGGAGGTCGATGGCCAGCCCGACCTGCAATGCCAGCTCCTAGGGGCCTGGAAGACATGGGTACATCGAGTGGGTCGTGGCAAGACCCCACGGCGACAAGTGCGAGGGCCAGCAGGAGCCTTCGTAGCGACGATCAAGCGATTGGGCTGGATGACGCAAGCAGCCCACAGCATCACCATCTGCGAGGAGATCCTGGACCTAAGGACGTTGCCGATCAGGGATCTGCAGCAGCGCACCCTCACGGCCACAGAGGACAGCCTCAAGCAGGAGTGGCTCAACAAGCGCGGGAAGAAGCACGGCCCTGACAGCCCCTTCGTCGAGCCTGTGCAGGCGCTGCTCAGGAGTCCGCGGACAGGCCGATGGACGCTGGAGCACCAGACGAGAGTGCGCAGCCTCTGGAGCGGAGGCACGCGGCCGCAACAGCGGCTCTTCGACGAGGGCGCCGCGCAGGACAACATCTGCAAGGCGTGCCACGAGAACGCGGGAACGGACCGCCACAGGTCACGGGACCTTCGCGTGCTCGAACCATCTGCCACCGTGGTGCCATGCGATGGCCTGGAGCGACGGAGGCGCAGCTGGCGGCGTACGAGGCGCTCTGGGGGCGGGGCCTGGCTTTAGACCCCGCGAAGGAGTTCAACTTGTGGGACCTGCCCTCCATGGGCGCCAGCGCCGCGGAGGGCGAATTCACCGGCTTCGCGCATGGGGGCGTCTACGCCGACGGCTGCTTGCTGCGCGGGGAGTACCCGGCACATCGGCGAGGAGGCTGGGCCTTCGTGCAGCTGGACACCGCGCGCGAGCTCCAGCACGCCATGCTCGGCCCGCTCGAGGGGCCGCAGTGCGACTAATCGATCTACAAGAGCGAGCTGGTCGCGATCGCCAAGGCCCTCGAGCGGGCCTGCCCGCCCGTCAGAATCTTCTCGGACTGCATGTCGGTGATCGACGGGTTCGAGAGAGGGCCCGCCTGGGCCGCCCGCACGGACGCAGCCCACAAAGAGGTCCGGCTGCGCTGTTGGAGGCTCGTCGCTGAAAATGGGGGGCTAGGGCCGCGGGAAATCTCGCTACACAAAATAAAGGCCCACGCCACCAGGGCCCAACAGGCTCAGATGGGGCCGCAGCTGTTTATAAGAAAAAACTGGTAGACGCCCACGCAAAGCGAGGGGCACAGATGAATCAACATGAGGCCTGGCACAGGGCCGCGTACATCCAGAGATATGGTATGGTTTCAGACATGTTGGAGTTCGCCGCAAACGTCGGGGTCCTCGGCCATAGGCTCGCGGACACCTCCGAGAGCCTGCAGTGCCCAGGGCCGCCCCGCCCTCCCCTCGACGCCTAGTGGGGGGGTGGAGGACCCGACGGGCCCCCCCCACAGCCCCCACTTCGCCCCGTGGTCGCCCCCCCCCGCGCCCCCAGTGGTGCTCGGAGGAAAGATCCAGAGGGCCCAAGCCGAAGGCCACCAGACGGTGCGCCTGCCGAAAGTAGTATTCTGCCGGAGGTGCGCCAGGTACGCCAGCGACCGATGGGCGGGCTTGTTGTCCAGATGTCCTGGGGGTAATCCTAGGGTCGTAGCTGGGCGTTTAAACCGTTTGTGGCAAGGTAAGTATCCCACCACAAATCAGATTCTCTGAGGCCCCAGATTGCCCAGGACAGGCTTGGGATGATGGGCGCCTCGTAGGGTTTCGTCGCCGCGCCCTCGGCCGCCTCGACAAACCGACCGCGAGCGAATCCTCAGCGAATCCTCCTCCTCTTCTGTTCCTTTTCCTTCTACATAGCTTCTCCCTGTCGCACCACGAGGTAAGTTTTTCGGGCGGGCCGAGCGTTTCGCTTGAGACCTCCTCACCATGTGTGATTCTGAAGCTTAAAAGTTGGCAACGGATTCGCAGATGGAGGGCGGGTCGTTTTCAAAAGGTGGTTCTCGCCTTAGCGCCGCGCACACTCGGCTTAAACATGTGCAAGGGCTTCACGGATTGAGGGTGGTTCCTTTTCAGAATGTGGTTTTCGCCTAAAAGCCGCGCGCACTCCTTTATGTCAGTTGCAAGTGTTTCACGGATGTTCCATGACCAACGTGCCAGAAAGGGTGCGTTGGAAGGATTGAGGGTTATGCGGGTGCACGAAATACGTTGATCCGCGGTGTTGGAATCCCAGGACTGGCGTTCTGACACGAGTCAGGATCGTCAATACGCAACAGTCAAAGCGATCCGTGGCGCTGGAATCTCGAGAACAATGGTGTGGGGTCTTCAAGTGGTCGCCTTCCAACGAGGCAGCTCCCTCAATGGAGATGAACCGTTGTAGGGGCCTATGAAGAGGGAGCTTAGGGAGAGGCTTGATTCCAACATCGTTGATGACTCTTGGGTCTACACTGGTCCTCCTCCTCCTCCTCCTCCTCCTCCTCCTCCTCCTCCTTTCCCTCACTCCTCCTCATCTTCCTCCTCCGCCACCTCCCTCTCCTCTTCCTCCTCCTCCCCCTCCCTCCTCCTCCTCCGCCTCCTCATCATCATCATCATCATCATCATCATCATCATCATCACCAGCATCATCATCATCCTCATCATCATCACCAGCATCATCATCATCAACATCAGCATCACCATCATCAACATCATCATCATCATCATCATCACCATCATCATCATCATCATCATCATCATCACCATCCTTCTCCTCCTCCTCGTTTTCCTCCTCCTCCTCCGTCCTCCCTCCTCCCTCCTCCTCCTCCACCCCTCCCTCCTCCGTCCTCCTCCCTTCTCCTCCCCCTCACTTCCCCCCTTCCTCCTCCTCCTACTCTTCCTCCTCCTCCTCCTCCTCGTCTTTCGTCCTCCTCTTCCTCCTCCTCCTCCTCCTCCTCCTCCTCCATCTCCTCCTCCTCCTCCACCTCCTCTTGCTCCTTCTTTTCCTCCTCCTTCTTCTTCTTCTCCTCCTCCTCCTCCACCTCTTCCTCCTCCTCCTCCTCCGAGTCGTCCATCTTCCTCATCGTCCACGTCCTCCTCCTCTCCTCCTCCTTCTCCTCCTCCTCCTCTTCTCCCTCCTCCTCCTCCTCCTCCTCTTCCTCTTCCTCCTCCCTCTTCTCCTCCATCTCCTCCTCCCCCTCCCTTCTCCCCCCCTCCTCATCCTGGTCTCCGGTTTTTCCTCCTCACTCAAAGAGTTTGCCCGATTGCCATTTGATTCCAGCGCCGGCACAGACGCATCTGATAAGGTAAGAGGTTCTGCATATATCATGGTGTCGTTTTGCCGCCAACTACCCCCGCTATTCTAGATTTACGCGGAACTGGGAGCGATCCCAGCTGGCGATCCACGGGAGACGCGCAGAGTGCGATGTGGACGCACATTCGCACCTCCCTCACCCTCCGCATTGGTACCTCCGTCCAGTCCCTGGACAGCTTTGTGCATGGCTTTTATGCAAACATCAGGGTAATTCGCCCAACTCTGCCTCAGGCGCAACGACGCCAACGCCTACGATCGCAAGTGACCCTGTGATTGGTGTACCGTCTCTTGGGAGACAGATGGGCCAGTGTAGGTGTGAGCATACCTGATGGGGAAGCAGTGCCCCAACCACACACCATCAACAACTTTCCACTGCATTGGCACTGGGGCGTCATCGCTATACCGCACAACTGAGCCAGCGCTTGGGAACGGATTCAGCGCAGTGGTGCTGGCGTCCCTCTTAGTCAACACGCTGCGTACTCCGAATGGCTTCAAGCTAGCTTGTGCTATTGTTGTTTCACCACCATCGTGCATCATCGAGGGTTCCACTACTATCACGACTGCTTCAAGTGGCAAGATGGCTTTCGTCCCTGGACAGGACCGAGTCCCAGGGTACCTGACAGGAATCCGTCTGCCGAACAAGTAGTGTTTACGAGGGGCGTCCGACTTGGCAGTATCCTCAGCCCCTCCACGGCCGCCTTGCTCTGGCTCGGCTGCATGCTGCCTGGAGCCCGTCAAGGTGGAGGCGGCGGCAGAGGCAGCATCAAGGTCCGTCAGCCACCTTCCGGTCACGCGAACGGGAATCGGCAGATTGTCTCCGCCACGGGGTGCAGGACCTTCTCGCTTGGAGCGCATTCGCCGCCAGCACGGGCAGCGCCCAGCAGCGTGTTGCCATCACCATTCACCTCGGCTGCGCCGCTCACGAGCTTTCACGTTCGATGAACTTCCCAAAAATGGCAGAAGGAGGAATGGTCAATGGAAAATTGGAAGGCGCCGTCACGTACCTCTCTGCGAACTTCACGACCCAGTTTGGACCAATTGGTGGGGAGCCACCCCTACAAGCTACAAGGGAGCTCTTCGAGTTCCCGAGGCGACACAACGAGACCACCGATGCACTGCTCCCGCGTATCCTCAGATTGCGATCCAGAGCAACGCACAACGGTGGTGCTGCGATGTCACGGAAAGGCTACAAGTGGCTGTTCTTCCGAGCGGTCGGCGCTACCACTAGCCAAGTTATGACGCTGCTCCATTCTTGCCGCAACAGATACCCAGCAACAGAGCCCAAGTGCAACAGTTTCTCGACAATGCTCAGGCGCACTGTTCACATCGCGGAGCGTGCACCCAACGACATGGCCAGCGCCCTACGTGCACCGCCGTCCTCCAGAGGTTTCGCGGGCATGACCAACGACGACAGTCGCGAGGCCAGCGCAGTGGACCCTTGGAACTCGCAAGGGCTTGACCCCGAGTCTGCAAGCGCCGACGAGCTCCCAGGCGTCGGAGGTGGCCACTCGTGCGCCGGCAGCGTTCAGCCGAGCGCCGGGCCGCCGCGCGCTGCGCACCCTGCCGCCGCGCGGCTGCGATCCGAGGAGGCGCCCGCCCACCTCGAGTATGCCGGCGGCGACAGTTCCGGCGCCCGTTCAGACTCCGGAGAAGTTACAGGCCACGCGGCGGATCAGTGCAGAGGCCTATCCCCTTTTCGGATCGACGCCCCAATATTTTGGCAGATGACACCACAAGCGCTAATTACGACACCAGAAGAACAAGCAATCAGAAGGCTCATCAAGAGGAATGGGCCCCCGTTCGCTTGGAAAGGCAATGGAAAAGGCAAGGGTGCTCAGAAGTACATCGTCCTCCCCGAGCTGACCGACGACCATGTCAACCATGTCTTCTTCGTAGGCAAAGAGCAAAAGTAACGGCAAAGGCAAAGGCAAACGCTCAAGCTGCAAAGGCAATGGCCGCAATAAAAACCGAGAAGGATATGGCGGGATAAAGACGACGCGCAGCATCTGCGGATCGGAGCACTATTTCCAAGTTGACTGCCCATGCCGGCTCTTGAAGCTCACGCGCCCAAGGCGGCGGGCCACCGAGTTTCGGAGGCCACGCCGACTCCGGCCCCCTTAGCGGCACCGTGGATGCCGGGCCTCTCTCTGGCAGTGGCATCTCGGGCGCTACCTCCACGGTCGCCGAATCTCCTCAACCGCCGCAGACAGGGCTGGGCTTCTCGCCAGCACAGCCCGCCACTGAGGGCCTCTGGCAGATGCCCGAGTCCATCCACGGCCCCCCGTTTGCACCGACGCGCCCGCCGCGCCGCCGACTCCTCATGCGTTCAACAGAGCAGTGCCTAGGGCAGTCCTCCTCATCCTCCTCCTCATCCTCCTCCTCCTCCTCCTCCTCTTCCCTCTCCTCCTCCTCCTCCTCCTCCTCCTCCTCCTCCTCCTCCTCCTCCTCCTCCTCCTCCTCCTCCTCGTTCTACTCTTCCTCCTCCTGAGGCACCCACGTGCCAGCGCGTCCGCCGTTCCCTGGCGCCGCCGCCGCCGCAAGCCTCGGGACCGACAGCATCGTCGAGAGGTTTTTCGCACGCCCAGGAGCCCGCGCAGCTCCCTGGGCGCCAACTGCGTCGGGCACAAGGCGAGCGCGCAGTCGTCCG